GCTGAAGTTCAGCCACTGCCTCTTCCTGTGCTGGTTCCTTATGCTGTGAAGTATTCACTTCTTCATTTTTTCTAGCACTATCCTTTACTTGGAAGGCACTCTCTGCTGGAGAGGTAGGCCTGCCCTCTGGTTTTCTGTGCTTACCTTTAAGATTAAGGCATTTGGAAGTGGATGAATTTTCTTCAGGAACCATTACTGTTCCCTGGTCTTTGACTATACTGCTATTCTTTGTTTCATCAGATGAGATGTTTACTTCTGCCTTTAGTGAACTTATCTGACTGTCATCTGCTAAGGTGGAAGACAACTGATGGGAAGAGGAAGACTCTATATTCTCTTCTAAACTGTGGACTGCTCTTATGTTTTCCTTAATATCTTCAGAAGTGCAAGGTTTAGCCATGTCCTTTACTGTATCCTCTGAGGTAGGCTGCTCATCAATTGCAGGTGACACTTTTTTGCTGCTTTGCTTCTGCTCTGCACCACCACCAACCTCCTGCAAAGAATCTGTGGAGGTCTTATCCAGCAATGGTTCAGCTCTGTAATGCCCCTCTGAAATGGTTTTACACACCAAGAAGCACTTGGGTGTCTCTCTCTGAGAGGTAACAGCATCAGCCAAAGGAGATTTTGGATGCTCAGCCTCAGGGTCTGAGCCATGAAAAGCCAGTTCTGCCTGGCACTGAGGAAACTCAGTGCTGAGGTCCACAGCCCCCAGGATAGCATGGCCAGGGGCTGGCCCATCCTGGACTCTGCTGAGAGAAGAAGAGTCCTGGTTGCTTTCTAGGTCAACCAGCTCTGCTTGCCTAAGTTTCAGAGAATAATCTAGTCCATCCTCCTCTAGAAGTACTTCCCCTTCCAATTCTGTGAGTCTCTTTCGAGGCTCTACATCGCCTTGCTCCTTTTCCAGTCCTGCTGGCACTTTTGGCACAGGGTCAGAGGGCCTGCCTAGCATCTCTGCTGCTTTCTCTGGAGCAGAAAGGCGATCCTTGGGAGTGCTGAGCTCCGCTCCCTTTGAGGAGTCAGACAGGCTGGTGCTCATTTCGGCCGATGTGTGAGGAGCATGATGCTCTCTTTTGACTGCTGTAGAATCCCAAGCTTCCCCAGTGGTGCTGCTGGCTTCCGGGGGAGTGGTACCTCCCTCGCCGGCTTCTTTCGATTCCATCAGTGACACATCCTGCTAAAGAAAAATGTATTTTTCTGTTACTACTACAGAACGATACAACATATCTAATTTGCTTAAAAGACTTTCAAAAACAGGTACTAATGTAGACAAGAAAAAGAAAAAACAAAAATACATATTAGTGGGTGATAAGAGTTGGGAAACAAATACCAAGACTGAGAGTAGGCAAACACTCGATGTAAGCTTGCAACATGAGAGAAATGCCAAATTAAAGCTACTAGTGCCTTTTTAGTTTTATAAGCAAAACCAGAAAATTAGTTTGGTCAAAGAGCAGCAATGCCAATCTCTCTGTAATGGCTGCAGCGCAACGTATGAAAAGTCCATGCCTCGCTATCTCAAACCCAAAAGGGGATACCAGCAGGCATTTGGAGAATGAGAAAATCATCAAAATCTCCATTCATTTTGGTAAATGAATACTCAAGACCCCTTCTAGTGGCTAGCAGAGTCTTAAAGATCTCCGATTTCAACAGCAAAAGGCCTGTACTTTGGAGCTGATGGCTCTCTTTACAGATCTATGTATGTATGAACAACACAGGGCCTTATTGCAACTGATCACAGGACTTGATTGTCAAGACACAGGAACACAAGAATTTGACTAACAGATAACTAGGACATGGCACAAGTTATCTGAAGGCTGTAAACCACATGGGTTGAGCAGAGTACCTCTGGTGTGTGTGTGGACATATCTATGGACTACAAAGAGAAACTATATCATCATCTAGTCTACTCTTTTTTTTTTTTTTTTTTTTGCGGGGGGCTGGGGAAGTAATCTCAGCATTGTTGGACAGTTTCCCAAGGGATATAGTGGAAATTCCCATTTATATTGCATTTGAAGTTCAGACATGACAAAGCACTAGGGAATGTACTTTTGGGAAATGTCTGTGAAAAGGATGGTAGAATCTGATTCACTGCTTTTGTGTTTCTGGCTTGTACCTATCCCATTACACACAATCCCTACCTTAAAAGCCATGAGACTCAGACAAACCTTAGTGACTCCCCTCCCCTCTTCTGCCTTAGGACACTCTCTAGCGTTCCAGCCTGTCTTCTCTATTCCCTATGCCCTGCTTATCAGAAATGGCTTATAAATTGCTGTTTTGGCCTGTTTCACATACACCAGCTACTCTTGCAGTCATACCAGAGCTCGTAATTTAGCCCTGAAGGATCTGCTACAACGTGCGATCAGGCTTCCCCTTGCACAAAGCTTCAGCATTCTCCTCCTTCATCCTATCTTACAGATGCTGAAGTTTCCAGATGCGAATGTATGGTCCTGTATCGTTTGGTCAGCAAAAACATTCCACATTTCTTCAAGTAAAAGCTGTTAAATGGCAAAAAAAAGCCACAAGGTCTGGCTCTGGACTATTTGCAAAGCTCATGCAAAAAAACCCAGAAATAAACAAAAAAAACAACCAAACAAACAAAAAAACCACCAAACCCCACTTCCTTTTCTTGCTCAAAACAGACAACCAAATCTACATCCTTTTTCTTTCTCTGTCATTCCCTGCAATTTTAAGTATAGCACTTTTTCCAGAGTTTCAACTGCTATTGTGGGGTGTGTGTAAGAATTTCAACTTGAGAGACTCACAAACAGAGAAAGGAAATTCTTTGCATAGAAAGAGAAATCTTTGAGATCAATGGTGATTTGCTTGTGTTGGAGTGGCTTTATAGTCACGAGTAACTTTTTCTGATCCCATACAGAAAGCAAAAACAATAAGAGCATGATTACACCTGGACTAATCATCCCAGTTATCTCTGTGGCCAAGGCATTGCCTGACCAGTAAGCTGATTTAGCTTGTATTTTCCCTTATGTCAAGTGAAATGGAATGCCTGCTCTGAAAACAGTTAGCCCATGCTCTGGAGTTAGAACTGAAGTATCAAATACACCTTAACTATAATATAGAATTGTAAAATCATTTAGGTTGGAAAAGACTTTTAAGATCATTGTTTCCAACTGTTAGCCCAGTCCACCACTAAATCATGCCTCTAAGCACCACATCCACAGGTCTTCTAAGTACCTCCAGGGATGGTAACTTTCAGTGAAGAAATTTTTCCTAATATCTAATCTAAACCTCCCTGGTGCAACTTAAGGCCATTTGCCTTTGTCCTATTGCTCGTTGCTTGGGAAAAACAGATTGACACCTGCTTTTTCTGGCACGTACCTGTTTTGTGAACTTTTGTCTTCTGATCCAAAGACCATAAGCCTTTCACAAGATGCTAAGGGGGTTTGTGTGTACTGCTGCAGTGCAAGGAGAGAAAGAAGGTACAGAGTGGGTCAGCAGACCCTCAGTGGCCGCTTAACCCCTACAAAGAGACCTGTAGCTGTGGAGGGCTGGACTCAATGATCATGGTAACTCCTTCAGCCATTTCTTCTCAAGTGCCATCAGGAAACATTGTGTTTCTAGGCAGTGCACAAATACAAGGACAGTAATTTCTCCAGCACAAATGCTTCTTAATCATGGGGACTGTCACCATCTTACAGCTTGCTTTTTTTTTCTTTTAATTGGAAAAAAAATGAGTTAACTTTGTTCTTGCATATTTCTTCTCATGTAAACTTTAGTTTTTGTTTATATTGAAAATATATTCTTTCTTACAAAACCCAAAGCTGGGATTATTCAGCAA